GGATCAATTTTTTATTGAGTGGTATGTTACTTGCTTTTAAGTCTCTCTGCACTATTTTTAGTCTTGAGTACTTATGAATGTATAATAATCCCTGAGCAATATCTTCAATTATGTTGAGTCTTTTCTCCCATTCTAGTAGCTTGCTTCTTCTAGGATCTTTGAAACAAAATTGTCAATGAGGAAGAGAAACAATAAGCTGAGCAACAAATACCATTTGGTTTTAGTAACTTCTTGAAAAGCATGCATACATTGAGAATTCTTACAAAATTAGATGAAGTCCAGGCTTTTGTTGGGCATGAACTCATAAATTAAAATTTTCTCATCTCTTTGGATGCAGTAACTCATTTTTGTGTTGGAGCTCCGATATTAGTTTCAACTCATTTTGAATTCTGTTATTCCTTGTCTAGAGCTTCTTAGAAGTCTCTTAAAACCACTTCTTTCCCTGTTTGTAGTTTTCACTAATTGAAAATAAAGAACTTAATTTTAATATATCTTAATTTATCAATCAATTGAAATAATTCATTTGGAATGACTCAGAAGGGCTATCCGTTACAAACAGGTCCTAATCCTCCCTCTCCTAGCTTGTTCTCAGATGAGAAGTTATCTGTAGCTTTCTTGCGGGATGCAAAACTGAACATTGTATAAATAATGTCCATTCTTATCATAGTTTTGAATGTCATTTGCATTTGCAACTCCATTTGAAATTTCCTCCATCTCTGATTTTTCCTTGTCTGCTGAAGTTTAAATGGGAGACGTAGATTCAATTCGAGAATTTATGATATGCTACTTACATGTAAGTACTATGTACCTACAATCTGTTAATCACTATGTATGAGCATCCCAAATGATTCGTCATGATATTCATCACTATTATGTTTTTCCAACAACACAGAAAAGTGTAATAAAGGTTTTGCCAAATGATTATAGAGGCTTACCCCTGCCTATGTGCCTTGAAGTACTATTAAGGAAGTAATTATCGAAGAAACCATCTTCCAGTTGTCATGGTAAAAGACACATCCATTTTTATTGTCATTGTAAGAAGTGAATACAATGCAGTCACAGTTGCTCCAGCAAGTAGCATTGTAATCACTTATGATAAAACACACGTTTCCATCAACGTTGTAGGTGATCCCTAGATCTCTTAGTTCAACAGACTTGAAGTTAAAGAATTCTCCTTCGTGCCTGCAAGATGACTGATCCCACAGCTGGCATCCTCCATCACTGTTATACCCTTAACAGTTACTGGCATCTGCAATCGACATTAGTCCATAGCTATCAGATAGCAGCCCAGTATTATCAATTGACCACATTGCTGTTTGTTTTTCTAATTCAATTGCATTATTTCTAACTTCGAATATGAGATACTATTCATCTCTGTTTGAGATAATGGTGAAGTTATACAAGCTTTGGGCTTCCTCTGGTATGTTTTGGAACTTCCCATTTCCTAATACCCCGCTCGGCCAATGAACCTTTTGATGAGGAGCCAAAGAACATATATTGGAAAACACGTCAACTTATAATAATGACACACAAAAAGAAGGTCCTTAACTACTTTGTTCGACTCAAAACTCATTTAAAGATATTCTATATTCACGCTAAAGGAAAAAAAATATTATTATGTATCCTCCGTTACTCGGCCCCTTCTCCGAATGTGAAATGGACTTGGAGAAGCTGATATAGCAAGAGAGTATGAAATTAACAAGGTGGCTTTCTGCTATTTTCTTGGAGAAGAGTATCAGTAGCCTGCCAGATGATGTTGCAGAACAGAGTTGGCTGTCTCTAACAAGGTGGCTTTCATGTTGTTGATGAGATCTGGACGCTGATCTGCAGGAGCAGAGTACAGGATGGTCGGCTCTTGACCTCGATGTGTGATTTTCAACACGCCAGAATGATCCAAGGTCAAAGCTTCCGAAGAAAGATCAAGAATTTGATCATTCCGATTGGCAATCCAAACCATCGAAACATCTTTTACTGTGTTGTAGACTAATAGGTAATAAAATGGTGAGTCACTAAATATTGGTTAAAAGTCATGCAATATGTGCCACTGGTTGAGCATATAGTGGGGCTTGTGTGATTTAGCTGACCAGCTGGCTTCAAATGGTCACTTCTATCTTGTGCATAAAAAGTTGTTTTCCACAACCCCACATAAAGCTGCAATAACCTGACCACAAGTTTGCTGATAATCACAGACATGGTAGAGAGCCTAAGGGCATAGCCAGCTAGAAATCAGGATTTCATTAAGCTTTTTGTTGGTAATTATTATATTCATGGCGTAACATTGTTGGTTCCATTACTTCGTTCTTTTTTTTTTTTTTTGGTTGGTAATATAAACTGTCTCGGCGGCATTTGGCGAAACCAGAATGATATCAGCGTCTTGTTTTGACCACAAAAATGGTATCAACTCCATCAATTGTTTAAAATTGCAGTGAACTTATATTAAGGATTTGATGATCCATCTCAATTCCTTTTCCTTCTCTTGTATTTTTGTTTAAAGTCTTTGTGGACGGATTCAAATTCAGTGATTACAGATTAATGGAGTTTTTCGGCAGATGCTCAGTTCAAAATATATTTTTCCTGATTTTGATTGTTGCCAATCAGCCTCCTGCTTTGCACGTTAACGTAAAGTAGTAAGTAACATTGTCATGATTTTTAATCAATTTTGTTTATATATATATATATATATCGTTTGTTTGGTCGAATGTTATATATATTGACAATATTTTTACATTTAAATATTTATATTTTAGTTTTGTTGATATTAAATATCAAGCATGCTTCGACTAAAGGAAAAAGGTTAGTACCATGCCGAAGAAAATAATAACTTGAATTTATGTAAAAAATAACTTTTTATCAAATAAGTAAATAATAGCTTAAATTTAAGAAAATAACAAGTTTTTTATGTTAAACTAAGTTGTTATTTCCTTAAAACTAAGTTATTATTTATAGAGAATTAGGTTGTTATTTTCATAAATCCAAACTATTATTTACTTAAATTCAAGTTATTATTTATGGTTACCTAAGTTATTTGTATTTTGAATATTAGTTATATATTAATTATTGATATTTTGTATTGTTTTATTAAAATATATAAGTTTTCCAATTATTATTAATCTTTATGTGAAGCAAGTGGCCTTAGGATTCTTTTCCTGCCAAGACTGCTGCTCAAAATTAACCACTACTCCACTAGTCTTCTGAGGAATTTGGATCCAAAATGCGTGGTTTATCATGCAATTTTAAAAAAGAACCAAATCTTAAATTTGATAATAACTGTTTGATTTAATTTGAATGATTTTAAGATATTTTAATATATAATATTTAAAAAGTATTAAATTTTAAATTTTTGAAATAGTGAACAGTATGCGTGACGAGTGATTTAATTGTGATGATAGCTGTTATAAAGTTTTCAAAAAAAAATTATTTTTATAATTTTTAAATATTAATAAAATTTAATAATTATAATTAAAATGCTCATTGAATAGTAAATTTAAACCACTTATTAAATTTTAATCTGTCACCATCAGAAAATACTCTAGCATTGGTGATGATTGACCGGAGTTTCAACAAAGTGGAGGGGTTAAGCTCTGCTTTTTAAAATAAGAGTATTTAAATAGTTGTGTGTGATAACTTAAAAGTCACAAATAAAAGAATTAGACTTGAGAGTATTTTATACGTTTTATAAGACTTTTGATAATTAAAATTTCATTCAAATTTTCTCTTTTTTTAAATGAAAGAGCCAAACTTACGTTCAGATTGTTTGCTGCTGATGCGTATTTTGGTTATTGCTAAAGGCGAAACTTATAAGCACTACACCACGAAGGAGATGAAGGCGCAGCTCCAGTGGAGGAAAAATTGCTGATAGTCTTCTAGGGTTTTCGAAAAGGCTTCCACAATTTGGATATTTTTTAATAATAAAAATTTAGGTGGGTTGGGTCAGCGACCAAGTATGCTTCCAAACTCATTGATTATATAATTTTCGTCATTTATGTGAGATATTACAAATCTAAATTTTAATTGCTTAAAAAAATTAAACGAATAAATTTATGAAAGAAAAACGAGAGATTAGTGGTCCTAGAAGGCGATTTGATTAGGTGCTAATTTAATGTGCCATAATAACCATGATCACCTTGTAAAAAGTAATAATTAAAGCGTTGTCATATTTCATATCAACCAAATATATTTATACTAAATATGCATAAGTTTAGTTAAAATTTTAAAATTCAAAATCTAAAAATAGAGTAACTTTAATGTTGATTTAGATGCAAGGGGATTTCGATTCAGATCAAATCCACAATTTGGATTCATAAAAATTTGGAGAAATTAATCCAACCATATTGTATTATAATTTTTTTTTAAATTTCAAATCCTTATACACTGTAGTTTTCATTTTCATCTTTCACTTTTTTTTTAATTGATAGACTTCTTTTCACTTTTAGTTTTCTTTGAATTTAAAATATTTTATACTATCCAACAAAACTTTTTACATATATAGATTTTAAATATGATATTTAAGATATAATATTTTAAATATTTTTTTGATTCCACTCATATAAAAACCACATAAAATATAAGCAAATTATTTATGAAATTTGAAAATATAAAATTTTTTTAATTTGGATAATTTTTTATTTAAAGTAAAAGATATTAAAATTTATATTAAAAAAACATGTACGACGCGCGGAATCTAAGTTTAGTCATCTTTTTCAAGAATGATTAATAATGTGATCTCTTATATAGATTTTAGTGTATACGGATATTATGTGTAAAATTAAAATATGAATGATGGAATACCAGATCCTAAAAATCTTATCTGAAACAATTAGTAGAATCAATTAAATTTAAAGCAAATCACAAAAAATGTAAAATAATTAACATGAACGACCAAAATGAGATCAATATGGAAGACTACATATCGTCAAACAAATAGACAACAATTGACTGCGCTCCTGGGACATGAACATAACATGTTCTTCATGTCATACTTGGGATATTTTATAAGATAATCAGTCATGTGAATAATGGAAAAGATCCTCAAGCAATTTGCCTTCTTTAAAATAAATCTTGAAAATTGAAAACTCAGTTTCAGTGGAACTGAATCTGCGAATATAGATTTCCTTCAAGTTTGACAAATGACATTGGGGATCATCAACTAATGGTTCTTCCATTATTTGTTTTTCAACTCTTTCAAGCTCCAGAATTTCAAGTTTGGGACAGTTTCGGAGCCACTTTAATCTAATATCCATGGGAAAACTGCACATTGAAATTTCCAATTGGTTAAATGGCAGAATTTTGGGACGTCATCCACTATTATTTAGTAATATTTCCGAACAAGGAACACCAAACCATTGTGAGCACATGTTTTGATCGAAAGTAATAACAGAAATTCAATTACATGTCCATGTAATTCATATACGGTTAGTAAAGTCACTATAAAATCCCCATAAGCGTTGTAAACATTCAAGATTCTCACCAAAAGCACAAATGATTGATGTCCCCGAAGTTTTGGGACTTCATAGTGTTTTTTTTTTTTTTTACTTTATCAAACCTTTAATATCAATCTGAGGAGTGTGACATTAGCGACAGCTTCCAATGGAACTAGAAAGTATGGAACATTTGCCTTGACCAAATGCTTAAGCTTTAATTTGAATTCAGCAGGTATCAGGTGATCATGATGACAAAAACACAAATCTTTAAGATACAAGTCTGGAAGACGATCAAAACATGAAGAAAGAATCATTGCCAGAAGTTCAACATCTGGAAATAGAACCCACTGCAAATGCAAGACCTCAAGTGAAGGAAAATTAATTCACTATAATTGCATCCTTCAACTTTATGTTGGCGACACCGGTGGCAGACGTGTATAGTGAACTTCTGATTGGTTGCTTGAGTCGTGCCCGGAAGGACACTGTCCTTAAGAACTATTCCGGCACACCCTTCGATGTCCGGCAGTTCCCTACGATTAAACAAGCACCTCCTCGACGGAACGAGGGAATAGAACAACGGAGACTAAACGTAAGCACAGACGAACATAGAAATAGGTTGATTGAGGGAGGAAGAGAGAACCCCGAAAACTCAAAAGGCTTGTGTTCCGCTCTGTCTGCACCCATGGCTATATATAGCCCAAAGGTGGACATGAACGTTGAGGGGGTTACCACCGAATTAAAGGCTCGGTTACGCTATCATAAAAATTGTTTAAAAGCTTGTCTGGAAACACTTGTCTGGAAACATTGGGGTTACACAAACGTATGTAAAATGCATTTAACCTCCTGTCTGGAAACGTTGGGAAGACAAACATTTATAAAATTAATTTGTTTAATGATCAAAAAACATTCTTGGTTTGATTTCAAACTCTAGATAGCCAAAATTTGAGTTTCTCCGGCAAGCCAAAATAATTATTTATTTTGTAAAAATAATCCGATAAAAGGAACCCACTACCTCTTGAACTCACGCGCAGGGGGGGCGAATCGGCTGATTTCAACTGCGATTGCCCTGAGTTGGCCTGTCTCATGTACGCGAGGCCACTTCTCTTCCAAGCTCATTTTACTAGCCCACTTTATTTCTTAGTATATATATACTAAGAGAGTCTTTCTTTTAATCAATGTGAGACTTTGACACACACACACTTTTGACACACATACAACACTTTAAGACTCTAAGGGAATTGCAACTCAAAATCCTATAGGGCAATGTCATATAAGCCCTAAATGGAAAACATATATAGCTCCATATGCTCAACTTGGCGATTTATAATTCCATAAACCCAAATGTTGGTATTCTCAGAGGAGACGTAAAATTTGTTACAGATAAGACGAAACTTTTTGATGGGTTTAAAACCTCAATCAGGCATGATTCTATGAACTTAAACAAGAAATCATCAGAACCAAAGCTCGTGTCTTCAAAATCAAGAGTGCTCACTGAGAACCAAAGTCGATGCCATCTCTTGTCCACGAGGCACATGGCAATGGCTTGTTTGGTTGGAAGAAAAGAGAGAATATGCTCAAGTAATGGATCTTCTAAGTTATTACTCCTATCACTTGCGATGTGTTTGGCCACTAATTTTTCCATGACAATAGATTACCCTTGACTTCAATGACCCTTTAATTTAAAAAAAGAAACTTGATTATTGCAGAAAAAACCTGGCAAAACAAAGAGGAAGATGTGAAGTCAAGAAACATATATAAATGATAATCAATTGAAAAGAGGAAAAATCTGACTATGGGATATACTTATGAACAGATGCTAGTATCTATACAATTAGAAAACCATCAAACTCAAGGTCCGGTTTTGGTTGCACTCTACACAAGTGCATGAGCCATGACAAGTAATATAATATAAGTAAAATATTATTTCCACAAAGATTTATTTAAAAATGATGATCAAACAAAAGACTAAGTAAATTTATTTAAGTTAGACCAAACATAATTAGAGGAGAAAGTTGATTTTGTAAACTAAATTATCACTAGAAAATATAAAAAAGAGAATAATTCACAAATTTTAAGTATAAATTGAGATCTAAGATTATTTATTCTTCTTGTATCTTATAACACTAAAACTGCCTTCCCTCATAAATGCTTTTAATGAAAATAAGTACTAACCTAAGGTTTTAAAAATACTTGAACAAACTCTTTCAAGTCATTAACAGGTATTTAGCTAAATTAATAAAACTCAATTTTAAACACCAATCACAATATGGCTATGCAAGACTAGCAAGTATATCTCTATCTTAATAGCAAAACTATCCATCCAACATGCAAATATCGTGTTCTTGTACTATTTTACCCAAGTTCTACATTCAACCTAGCTCTCTCAAACGTCAATCAAGTGAACCTAACATCTAAATGGTAGCCAAACACTTAGAAGTATCAAGAAAAGAGTAAAATAAATACACACACACATATATATATATCATTAATTACAAAAAAAGAGGAGGAACTTAGTGTTAATTGATAGAAGGGTTCATCATCCACAAGTTACAAACACACAAAATACTTGGGCCCATTTTAGATTACAAGAGAGGAAAGAGAAGAGTAAGTAATAGAAAAACCAAAGAAGAGGAGCTATAAATATCTTCAAAACTCCAATCCCTTGCTCTAAGCTCTTCCAATGCCCAAACCCTAGCACAATCAAGCTCCAAATGTGTCTAAAAGTAAGTAGAATCTATTCTGGGTTAAGCTCTCAGCATATCTGTATTCTACTCAAGCATTCTCAGATAAATAAAATGAAGTGTTTTGTTGATAGTGATGAAAGTTGCAAACAAAGTCACGACTTTAGATAGCTTTACACTGTTTTTGCAGTTAACAAAACTTCTTCTCTTTACACTTGATTTCTCCATCCAAAAGCACCACCAAAGGTCCAAAAATATTTCTAATCCAACCTTAAACCAAAATAACATAAAATTAGCCCAAAAGTATAGAATTAAAATCAAACATGCAAACCTAACGCAAAGTACACATTTTCCTAATTTAGGCAATCAAAATATATACAATTAAGCCAAAATATATTAGAATCTAAGAAAAATGTGTTCAAGTGACATAAAATTCTTGAGGTTAACAGTTTTAAATATAGTGAAAGGGGTTGGTCTTTCACAATCCTATCAAACAAAGGTTTGAATCCCTACTACCTGACAATGTTTTGAATAGGTTGTCTCTTTAATAATGGATTAATAATCATCATTAATTATCATTTTAATCAATGTTCATATAATTTTAATTCTGCTAACATTTGATTTTATGTGATTTGGATTATATTGGTTTTCCTTTTTATAAGATATTTGAAGCATAAATTTTAGTTACTTAAATCAAAGAATGAATATTAAATAAATTGAAAAATAATCAATTGCAAGCAACATTTCAAAACTATATATATATATATATATATGATTCAACCAGTGATGTTTCAAAATAATACTTCAACAATCAATTTTAAAAGGAAAAATATAACTTTGGGTCCCTACATTTTGCTCACATTTTACTATAGTTCCTTGCATTTTTTTTGCTTTTCTAAGTTTCTACACTTTTATTTTTTAATATTCTAGATCCATTTAAGATCCCTATACTTTAATCATTTAGGGACTTAGAATATCAAAAAAAAGTGTAGGAACATATAACACTGATAAAAGTGTAGGGACCTATAGCAAAACGCAACTAAACTGTAGATATTTAAAGTTATGTTTTTCCATTTAAAAAATAATGATGATTTTGGTTAAAACTTTAAAATTCATAATTTAAAAAGGGAGTACATTACATTTTAAAAATAAGCAATTATTTATCAAAAGTTTGAAGATAAAAACTATTTTTATTATGTATAATGTTTTCTTTAAAATAAGAAAGATATTAATTTTTTTATTTGAATAACTAAATGTATACCCATAAAAGCTATGTTTAGCTATCGTGTTTATTATAGATTTTATTATATATCGATATTGATATTATGTGTAAAATATGATGGTAGTCAAACCAAATCCAGAAATCTTATTTGAAACCATTAATAGATCAATTTAAGTTAAAAAAAATCACAAAAAATGTTAGGCGATATCTTTCTGAGTCTTTCGCAAAAGATATGGATTCTGAATATCCCGTGATTTTCTATTCATGTTCTCTACATCCTCTAACAGTATATGTGGGGTCATAATAAAATTATTGTTCTTTCATTTTTAACAGAAAATGTAGAAAATATGCCGTTTTAAGAAGCATTCATAATTCCAAAAAAGTATTCATTATCTCTTCATGGAGTAGGATAAGTTTCTATGTTTTGGTCATGCACATCGTTTTTCTTAAATTTTATTTCTAGACGTAATGCGGTTTTGAATGTTGGACAATCCTACTTTTTCTGGCAAAAGAAAGAAAAGGTCATATCATCCAATGGAAAATTTTAGGACTTTATCAACGATAAATTGTCCCAACGACAGTGCTATCTCTCTTACTCAGAAAAGGTTCTGAGTTGGGACCTGGCTTGTGGGTGTGCATCTCCCTTTTCTATGAATAAGGCTGCTGGGTTAAGGTTTTAATAACTTGGAGAAATACATGAAACTTTTCTCATTAAAGAGTTAAGTCTTGAAAATATTGTTAAAAAAAAAAACACACACACACACAGAGTTAAGTCTTGAAAGGATGTTCAAAAACAAGGAGAAACATATATAAACGAAATATGCATTTCATAAAGAGTGTTGTTTATTTTTATTTTTTATTTTTTTTTCTTCTCTCCTTTTCTTGGCCAGATTATCACCATATCCTTTTTTTTTTATTTAATACTCTTTTCTTGTCTCCATGGGATTTTTTAAACTTGCAATGTAGAGAGGGAGGTGGTTTTTTCTATCATAAAGTTTATATAGAGACATTTTTTTGTGATTTGATTATATAATTTTCATTATTTGCTATTACAAATATAAATTTTAATTGACTAAAACAAAAGAATAAATATATGAAAGAAAAACGAGATATTGGTGGTCCTCGTAGGCGATTTGTTTTGGTGCTAATTTAATGTGCCAAAATAGCTATGATCATCTAGAAAAAAAAAGTAATAAGAATGATCATATTTCATATCAACCAAATATAATTCATATCATGATCATCTTTTTTTTTTCTGTAAATGAAAGTTTATATGAGTTGAATTCTGTGAGCTTACCAAAGTCTGAATATGCCTGTAGTGGTCCAAACTCAAAGAGCAAGAATAACATCTTTTTAATATGTAGGTTTTTTTTCCTCTTCAACAAATATATGTGGAGATTTCTTAAAATAACACTTGTTTTCATCAAGTGGTGGTTATATCTTTCAATTTTATAACCTTCTAAATGTGCCTTTAATTAGGAATTAAAGATATATGATCTTGGTAACTTTTTATATTAATGACCCTTCATAAAAATTTGTTAATCTCAACATTTCAACAAATCACTTCTTTTCATTTTGAAATTATTTCAGCAAGACTTTGGCTTCTCTTTACTTCTTATTTTTCATCAAAGCCACTATATTTATATTTGAATGATTAACTCTTCACGTGTAAAAATTATTGAAGAGGTAGTACACTAATTTCATAGTACCTTCGAGGTTAATTAATCTTCTTCTGCCTACAGCAAAGCAGATCACTCTTATTCTCTGTGTTATGCTTCGCAACTAATATAAATATAAATGCACCGCTGTGCTCGCGTCATTTCTCTAGATCGTACTTCTCTATGTTCTAGTCAAACTTGTCCTTGTTTAATTTATAGTCCGTCCTTAGCCTTCAAAGCTTGTGGCCTTATAATTTTTTTTAATATTTTAAATCCTAATTTTTCCTTATTAAATCTATCGTATGAATATGGATTATAAATTGTTAGGACATGGATTATATAGTATTTTATTATTCGTGGAATTTCTATGTTTTTCTTGTGATGTGGCGATAACTAAATTAAACAAGTGAACTAAATTTATTTTATTTACAAATTCATCGCATATAAGAAAGGATTTTAAGATTTAACAACGATTTCGTTTCTTAACCTATGAAGGGTTAATCATTCAAATATAACATGATGGCTGAGATGAAAAATGAGGAAGAAGTGATAAGAGAAGCCAAAATGTTGGAATGATTTTAAAATGAAAAGATGGTGCTTTTTAAAAAAAGTTGCATGTATAATAAATTAAGAAATTTTTATGATTCCTAGATATGTGTATGAAAAACCATTACTTGAAATAATATAACCCTTTAAACAGTATTCAGATTTCTCAGGGAATTAATCTCACAATTGCTGGTTGTGAGGATACCTTGGACAAAAAAAAAATTATGAAAATGTAATGACTATAAATTTTGAATTAAATAAATTTCTTTTCTAATTAATATTTTATTTAATTATTCCAATTTAACAAGTAGATGGTGGTTATTTATTACAACTTAAGTTAGCAACTTACTGGAAGATTCAAAGTTTAAATTCTCTTAAGTAATAGGCTAATCTTATTTTATCATGGTTATGAGAAAAATTTCAAAAAAAAAAACGAAGAGAGAAAATGCCTTGTCTCTTATATTATAATATATAAAAAATTTGGGTCCATCGTTGTAACTTTCTCAATCCTCCCTTTTTAAGTCAGATTTTTCTTCTTCCTCTGTCATTTTAATGAGAGAACCGACGAGAGAGAGGGAGAGAATTTTGAAAACTTTCATCTCTGTCCTTCTACATTCCAGCATGTTCACCGACTTGGGTATGCAATCACCATGATCAACTGATGCTAAGGGTCCATGTGTCGTCTTCTCCGTCTTGTTTCACAGCGTTCACTGTTGGTAATCTTTGCCTAACTCGTTCGTCCGTTCTTCATCCGCATCGCCAATTGTTCTTTTTCTTCCCTGCTCTTCTCTGTTTATGTGACGGCTTCCCTTCTTCTTGCTTCAAGTTGCTACTGCATTCGTGGGTGTGGCTATGGCTGTGGGGGCATCGAAAATCTTCCTTCCATGCTTCACGTCACCACCATCATCTCCCCTGTTTTGTGTCACAAATCGCTCAACTTAGCCAGTCATCCAACTTGTTTGTTCATTACCGTCGCTGCTGGAGTCCTGTCTGTTCATCATTACATGTGGTTCCGGTGAGTGTTTGGCCATTTTCTGTCGCTACTTTGGCATCCTTGTTAGAATTGTAATTCCTTCATGCTTCCCCTGTTCAGTGCTGTTATCTTCTTTCTCTCTCCTTCCTTTATGTGTTGTTAATGATCTAAGGTTATTTCAATCCTCCTCTTCCTTGTTGCTTGGTGTGCATTGTTGGCTGAGATTGTAAAATTTTCTCCTTCCTTTCTTTGCTGCTGAAAGTAACGTGGATGGAGATTTAATTTTATTTGAGCATTAAAGTGGTTTTATGTTGAAGGAGAAGCTTGGTTAATCTTATGTTGCCATTGGAAAAAAAGAAATATATGAAAAATGGTTGTGAATTTTCTCTTGTTCAACTACCGCGTGTGATTGTGTAGGAAGGGGATTGGATTAATTTGAAATTTAAAACTTAGTTAAACATTTTCATTAAATAATTTCAGTATGATTTTTTTTGGGTTATGATTAATGAAGATGAATGTGAGTTTGGGTTTTACTTTTAAAGTTAAAAGCTATTTTTTTCCCTATTAGAAAAAAGGGGGATTTGAGGAGCTTGTTTTATCTATATATTGATATTTAAAAAAATGTTGGAAAGTATAATAATGAGGAAGAGGTTTGGTATTTAGTTGAGTTTGGACGCGTATAAAATGTTCGCTAAAATGCTTGAAAGAAGTTGGAATTAGAAGTAGAGATTTTAAAGAGAATATTTGTATTAATAATTCAAGTACCAAATTGCTATTTATGTATTGATCGTTGAAATATCTATGTAAAGTTGTGGCAACGTCGGGAGGAAGTTTTTGGATTTGTAGGAAGCCCAATAAAATTTTATTGTATATGATAAGGCGATTGAAAGAGAAAAAGGACACATTTGGTTTGGAGGTTAATTATTTATGAAATTTACTTGGATTTGGTGAAGAATTTTGACTATGAAGCTACTGTGAGACAAATTAGATATTGGGGCATTGTATGGTTGATGATTACAAATGATAAATCATTTACTCATCACCAAGAAAGGATGATATGAGTGCAACATAAGGGTATCATTATTGGCTAGCTAGAGAAAGAAATAAAATATTTTAAATATGGTTGCTGGGTTAAGGACAAATACTGATTTAGAAGAATTTAATAATTTCTAGACAAGATAATAGGTTGATGACTTTTATTGGTAGTATATGAAGTGGAGTTATCATTAAATAAAGTTATTCATTCTTCTTATTTAGGTAATTAGAGTAGCCAAAAGGCAACTGAGAGATGTTCAAAAGAGCGAATTTTCATCTTGTGAGCTTTTTAGGTAAGTAGATAGCATCCCAACTGATTTTTTAATAAAGATTTCCTTTACTACAATAGTACATTTTTATGCAAAATTATTTTACTAACAACGATATGGTTATTGAATAGTTTATTTATTAAACTTCTTTATTTTGTGAAATTGCCTTTATCAGTTTTGAAATTTTAATTAATTAATAAATACAAATTTGGACTTTGACTATGAGATTTCATTTTATTGAACATTGGATTGATACAGAGAATGATTCATGCGAGTTTGACTTTGAAAATGAAAATTTTATTATGGAAGTGATGATTTTTTGCATGTTTGAAAATGGATTTGAATAGGACTTTATATAGAACACTGGTCACTAACGACAGTTCCGTTAGCCATTGGCGCACCATGATACACCTAGCTAGTAGGATGTTTATAGGAGGTGTTAGCCCTGTGTGATAGCCAATGCACGTGAAATGGAGGGATGGTTATTCGTGAGCATCGTACTCATATTTGTTTCGTGGCTTCAAGCTACATTTAGTTAGCATTATCCTCGTGGACTGCATGTCCATGTTTGTTTCGTAGCTTCAGCTATGTTTGGTTACTTACCTTTATAGACTGTGTGTCCACGTTTGTTATTTATTCTGATAAGTTCATATAATTATGATTTTTTAATTATTTGATAGACCTATTTTTCATTGATTTTGATTAATGACATATTTATAATTATTTTATACAATTATTTACTTTATCAAAAGTACATGATAATGACGTTTGATGTGATATTTTAATGAATCAGGAATTTATTTAAAGTTACATAAAGTCCTTTTTGACGAAGTTTATTATATATTTGTTTGTGAAAATTTTTATTCTAACACACACAATTATGTTAAACTTTCTTTTTATACATATTTAGTTATTTATTGTTGGGATGCTATTCACTGAAAACTTATTTGGTCTCAGATTCGTTAACTGGTGTTGATCCTACTGCTGACATTTAAGGGGCGAAAAATTGTTCTGGGTGGTGATATTTTGCTTAGCATTATCTCCTTTTGACATAAACATTTGAACTGATGTATTTTATTTTGAAAGTAAGGTTAGTTAGCTCCACATAGCCTATAGCTAGGTTTCTATTGTGATATATGTTGTTTGCTGGCTGGAAGGAGTTGAGCTCCTGATTGATATTACATTTCATGTAAAATATTGACAAATTAAAAATTTTCTAAAATCCTATTTACTAGGAAGATTCTACCAAAATTTTCTATAAAAATATTAAAATTTTCAATATAATAATTTTATTAAACATGTTATAATTTTCAGTACAGATTCAATTATGTTTTAAAATGAAAAAAAATTCTCAATTTAAGGCTTAATAGATGTGTGATATGGTTCACATCCTGTGCCTGTCACTCTCTGCTTTCGGGGTGTGATAGAAAAGTTATATAGGAAAATGTAATATTAAAAAACACAAAGATCACCTCTCTCTAATTCTTAATGACATCTTTAAAAGGTTATAAAATAAAAAGATGTGGTAAACCATTTGGTGAAAGGAAATATTTACTCCAGTAAAACTTTATATATTAAAGAGATATTACTCTTCATAAAAAATTATTTCAAATAATCATCTTTATTAATTATTAAATTATGATATTTCATGAAACAATTTAGGATTATGATTTCAAGATTTTTAATTCATTAATTAAAACACTTCACTTCAAAACACTCTTCATTATATAAATATCCATCACCATTACTCAATTCTTCAATCCAACATCCAAACTCATTATCTTTGTCATTGAACACACCAATAAAATCAAATTGTCATTTTTTAAAAACTCAATTGTTGTCTTGCTTGAGTGTCCCAACCATATTCAAGGGTTTTCAATATTGTATCTTGAAAAAAAATTCATTATTAACCCTTTTTATACTTGGAATAGGTAAGAACAAATTAAACTTAAAAGAAAGTGTTGTTTATAGATTATTAAAGATATCATTGTTGCCTATGCTCGATTTCATGGGCTTTGTGTTTGTGCTTGTTTTTGTGGCTTCGAGCTGCACTTATTGATTACTTACTCTCGTGGATTCTATATCCATGTTCGTTAGTTACTTACCCTTGTAAACTTTATATCTATGCTTATTAATCATTCTGATAAAGTCCTGCTAAAATGTGAAATTCTGGAAAGTTATTATTTTTAAAATTTATTATACTAAACAATTGTTATTTGATCATATATGATTTTACAAGGTAAATTATACAACTCAATTATTTAAGATAGAGATTGAAGCTAGGAAAGTTAGACTTGATTTCTCTGTTATCTGTAAATCATCTATATTTATTCTAAATCTGCTAATTTTATAATATTGAATTACTTTCTCTTCAATTTTTATAACTGTTGTAAATTATTCATAAATGTTCTCTCTTTCATATTTATAATATCAATGACAATCCAAAAAATTTTCTTTGATCTCAAATATTGAAATCGACCCTGCGCCTCTTGCTGATTATTGAGGGGCACAATTGCTTTTTGAAATGTAAAAGAACATGTTGACCATTTATTTTGATATAATTGTGTATTATATTATACAATTGTAATTTAGTGCTGCACATATACCATAGTTAAGTCTTAATCTTATTTTATTATTGTGAAGTTTGTTAGTGTGGAGCTAAACTCCTTTCTCATTTAGCTAACAGGTTTTCTCATTGTAAAAATTTTGAAAAGTCCTAATTACAAGAAAAACTCTACCGAAATTTCTATAGCATGGTTAAGACTTTATAAATTTTAAATTTGGACATAATTATATATTGTTATCTTGAATTAATTTTTTAGTTAATTAAGACTTATGGAATGTGAGTCTATCTCATATTCTGTGTCAGTCACACCTTTAGTATCGAGATGTGACACAGGACATGCGCATAACACACATCTCTAAAGCTTGAAATTCAAAAATTTAACTTTAAGACCATATACATAAATTATCAAAGATTAGACCATTTTCATGCAATTAATTCAAATAAAAGATTTCATAATTTTTTTTACATAAACTTCAAGAGCATATCCGTTGTAAATAAGACCTCACAAAAATTCTCAATACAATTTTAAACAAAATACCACAATAGCTAGAAGCTCAACTCCTTGTAGGTAATAGACAAAGTATATAACAACAATAAAACCCTAACTATAACTTATGTAAAGCACTTAACCATAATTTCAAAATAAAATATATAAATTTTATAATTACATCAAAAGGAAATAATTTCAATCAAATCTCCACCTAACTTAGCTATAAAACCTTCAAAAGTCAGTAAGAGATTTAGCATCGTCTAATGAATCTGAGACTAAGAGTAACTTTTCAGTGAATAACTTCCCAATTTAAATTTAAAGAAATAAAGGGGAAATAAAATTTTTAAAATAATTATGAATTTCATAGTAATAATCATTATCATAATAAAAATAAAACACATTGTAATTTTAAATAATCTTATAAAAATATGTAAACCAAATAGATACAAGGTTGATTAAAGGCAATAGAGACATCAAGTTCAATTTCCAAGTTAAAACCTTTGTCTTAGACAACTAAATTATATAATTCATCTTATAAAGAGAAATCCATGCACAGTCAAGCAATCAACTTATTTAGCAAAAACCAATTAAAAAACAATAAGTTCCAAAGTTTCATAATTTGCGGGACTCAATCAAAAAGATTAACAAGCATAGACACAAAGTCTATGAGAATAAATAACTAACAAGGATGGACACACAGTCCACGAGGGTAAGTAATTAATAAACATGGTTCGAAGCCATGAAAACAAGCATGAGCACAAAGCCCACAAAATCAAGCGTAGGCACAAGGCCCATGAAAACAAGTGTGAGTACTATGCTCACGAATAACCATTTCTCCATTCCATGTACATTGGCCGTCGCACAGGGCTAACACCTCCTAAACACCCTGTTAGCTAGGTGTACCATAGTGTGTTAAGGGCTAATGATACTATCGTTAGCAACCAGCATTCTGACTTAATCCCACATTTCAAATCAAGCATGCATGGGCATGCATGGATCTAAAATCAATATATTATCTCTTTTTAAAATTACTCATCAAACTGAACATAAATAAATGCCTCTGTATATAAATCACATGCATGAACCATAATAGTTAGTCATCTCTTACATGTAAATCAAACATTATCAAATATGGCAATCGCTTTTAAATATTCATTTGAAAAATTATAGTTCCAACTCTCTATAAAATCTATTGTAATGAAGACATTTCTAAGTACAATACCTAGTAATAAAAATGAAAATCATAAACTACTAAGGAGGAATAAATAAAAATACTCTATCATTTGTCTTGAACAATTTTTTTAAAAAGATATATAAATAGAGCAAGTGACTGTGAATAAGCTCAATCGATATTTTAAAAAATGAATTTGCTAACAAATTATTGGGATACTATTCACATATATGACACATTCTCAAATAAATTACTCACTCCTAACTTGTCGTCTTGTAATAGTGCTTGGTCTTTAAATCTTAGTACCCAAGTAACATCATTGTCATCTTCTTATATATATATAATTTATAACCCAAAATTTTATGTCCAAAATAATTTGGAAAAGTAGAAAAGGAAGAAATCTCAACTTCCACCTTTTAAAAGTTCCATCAAACTCTCTTGATGGCACTCCCTCGGTCAACATAAAATCAAGCAACTTTGGTCCTTGAATTACTAACCAAAATATTTTCTTTTTCAAAGATTTCTAACTTCAACTCTGACTTCTGTTGTAGAGAATAAGTACATTTTATAATTTAATTAACAACACAATAAAACAAATTATCACATGTTTCAGCATTGTAAATCAAAATTTCCTCTAACAAGCATTTTACCAAATACCTTATAGGCATTAGTGTTCAAAGTACAAATGTAAGCCCTTCTTCCCCCCTCCCCTAAATCTCATCCTAGCAAATACCAATGCCAATATTTCGTTTATTAAACTTCCCATTTTTTTCCCTTAATCATTATACAATAATCGATCTAAATATATGAAAAAGAACATCATTTGAACCCATTTTCCTCTTAGAATACCCAAAATTTTTAAGGCACAACTATCTATCCAAAATGAGCTTTCTAATCCTCCATTTAAGTTTGCTATAATTTAAAAGATGAAAACCCATAAATTTTACACTAAAATTTTTTTCTCACAACTTTTATCAACCACCTTAACCAACAACATAATTCATAAACTACGAATCATACACCTTCATTCACTAACAAAAGCCTTCAAAGTTTCCTAAATAAATTTCCTAATAGCATTTTTCCTTAAGGTAACAACAAAAATAGAATTGTCTCTATCTTCTGTATCTTATCATAAGAAGACAACTGTAGAGAAATAACTCAATCAAAATAAATATCCCGATACAACATTTTCAGGCAATTAACATGCTAATTCCTTACTTTTCTCACAACCAGCAGTAACGAAACAACTAAGTGTGTGTTTGGTTTTTCATTGACTAAAAATCAATTTATCAAAAATTTATTTAATAAAAATCAGTTTAGTAAAAGTTAGTTATTATAATAAAATTTATATTTAGATATATTTTTTTAAAAGTCAGTTTGATATACAAAAAGTTGTTTGGATTATATAATAAAATGTACTTTTAAATTTATAATTATTAAAAAGGATATTTATTTTTTCTTATTTGTAATTTTTGTTATAAAAATGTTTGATATTAAAAATGGTTAAAATTTTATCTTATTTGATATTTTATATTTTATTCAAGTTACAAGGCACTTTTATAATTATAAAAATTAAATTTCTTTATTTTATTTAAAAATAGAAAAAATGATAATAAAATTTCTTTAAAATGTATAAATAACAATTTAGTCTCTCGAAATACAATAATTCCCCTGAAGTCTTTAAGAATTTTTCTGTCATTAATAAATTTATATAAATTATCAAATTAGCTTTGTTAAAAATAAATAATTCACAAGTTTTGTTTAAATATTCATAACTTTTCTTCTTATATTTGCAACAATACAATAGCAAATAGGAAAACTTTGCATGTTAATTCTTTATTTACTGTTGTATTATTGTGAATATAAGAAGGGTATTGGGTGTTCCTCAAAAAATATTTCAAAGGTAAAACCACACATTAACCCTTAAGTTTGTGTAAAAATTTAGAAATGTATCAGATACGTACGCGTTTGGCTATGCGTAAACGGTAAACCTGATAGTCCATTGCAATTCAGTCCAAGTCGACATTGTCTATCTGTTTGTGCAACATATAAATGCTTGCCTCAAGTGACATAATTCAGTTGAAATATATGGTATTTATTTTGAAAAATTATGTCACCTGCTGTAAATATTCATATAAATATGTCATAGTTTTCTGACATTTTTTTAAAACTTAGACACAGTCTTAATTCATATTCTTTTCTTGTTTAACTATTATGAGCAAAGTTCAATTGCAATTTTCTAAATAGACATTTGCATTTCTATATATAAAAATGTTATTTAAGTAGCTATTATAAGTATTTATAATTAATTATGCAATTTAATATTTTTAATTTTGATTATGTGATGAGAGTTTAAGGATCCTGTTAATCTCATTCAAACTACATCTAGAATGTATTTTTATCAAATCCAACAAATAGTTGAATCTTTCAAATGAACTTTTATCAAATATATACAGAAAACCAAATACACACTAAACTTTAGGCCGGCATTTTCAGATTATATTATGAAAAAAATTATTTATTTTTTTTTTAAAATTTTAGGATGTTCGCTTAAACTTTTGAAAATAAATAGAATGCAAAAAAAAAATTTTTTTGATTATTTAAAAATGCTACTTTGAGTAACTTTTAAAATTAATATTATGCGGTAGATGGAAGAGAATTCTTTTAAAAAATAGGATATTTGAATATACCATAAAATTTTCAAATAGTGAAAAAATAAATAATTTTTATAAAATAAAAAATCAGAGAAAATATCATAAAATTTAAAAAAACTAACTAATAATATTTTTTATATATTGTAACCAAAGATAAAATAATGTATGCTTTTCATAAAATCTCTATAAAACAAATTTCTTTATTTTATAAAAAGAATCTATAAACTATCTAAAAGGTTTTCTTGCAAAATAAAGGATTCCACATAACGAAAATTTAGCCAAGCAAAAGATTGTAATTAGTCAAACAAAAGATTGCAATTCACTCGACCCATGCAACATCTGGATAGTCTTTCGAGCATTTGGCGCCTCATCATTTTCCGTTTCTTCTTTCCCACGCTTGAGGAAAGGGTGATAGTCCTCAAAACTTTAGCTTCCCTCCAAATAAATCTCACCATCTGAAACTGGGAGTTGAAGTCCTCGTATTCTGCAAGGTAGAATGTCTTCAAGTGTGATGAGATACACTGAGGAACCTCAAATACTGGTTCCATCAAGCTTTCCACTTCCTCGTGATGATTATTTGGTGAGCCAGCCAGAGCTTTACGAATCACTAGATTTTGGAGCTTGGGACAATTCTTGAGACATTTCACTATCTCGCCCCAGTCTTTGGCATAACATGAGAATTCCAACCGAGTTAAATTGTCATATGTTGGCATATGATCCTGGCTAGGTATCCAAAAAGTCTACAAGTGGAACATCATAGCAAATTCAATAGCTTCAGTTATCACATCTTAGAAAACGAGAACAAGCAAATAAGAAATAATATGAGTCATCACATCCCGGAAAGAAAGGAAATAATATGAAATTTACTCATCTTCATTCCTACCTCACACAAACTAAGAAATTTAACATTAGAGAAAGCTTTTAAATTCATCATGAAGGGTCCGAAAGTTGCTGAGGCCAAATGCTTGAGATCTGCAACGTCGACTGCTGCTGCAACGTTAGCGGGCATGCCCCTACACTTAAATGACAGTGACAAGCTTTCAAGAAGAGGACATCCAGAAAGAAGCATTGCCACAAGTTTGAAATCATGAAATTTAGCACGTTGCAAGTGCATGATTTTCAATGAAGGCAAATTTACACAAGAAAGAGAGTCTACCAACAACCCCTCCAACTTTAATTCCTTTATGGTACTGCAGACGAAAACTCCAGACAGCAAACTGTAGTTAGAGAATGGAAAAATTAGCTCCAGCTGCTCAACTTTGAGATTTAGAGCAGCATGAGCCGCCCAGATTTTAATCTGGTTAGGGTAACTGTCACAAGATTGACAAACGAGATGGAACTTTTTGATGGATCTAAAATCTCCACAAATGAAGACCCCGTAAACAAACTTAACGAAACTTATGTAATTTTGATAGATGGAATCATCAAGGTGAAGAGTTGATAGTGACCGCCAAAGTGTCTTCCACCTCTTACACACGAGGCTGGCGGCGATGGCTTGTTTGGTTGGAAGAAAAGACAGAATATGTTCAAGCAACTCGTCTGATAGCTTGCTAATCTCATCGCTCATTGTTAATTGACTTCCCCTTTCTGGGTTCAAACAAACTGATTTTGCCAAAACCTTGGTTGGGAAATGATGAAAACAGACCTATTCAGAAAATCATCAAACATGAACTAGTAAGTTTTCTTCTGAAATTGAAGGCATTGGGAAAACAATATGCAAAATGATTCTTCAGAAGATTCATGAAACATTAGCCGTTCAAAACTGTCAAATATCGCTGACGGAAATTTGATAGCATAACCAACCTCGGATGCAGCTTCAATCACTCAGTCTTCACGCAATCTCTGAAGGTCTCCGTCACTTTCCTTCGCCCCCGCTTCTTGACTTGTGGGATCAATATCGCTGTGAATTGTGCTCTCTCCCAACTCTATTTATTATCGACTTCAGTCTCCGGTGAGTGGCGAGCAGAGCAAAGAATCAGTAAATGGCGGAAACCAAGGGGGAAGTTAATGCACAGATCACGCTTTGAGATACTGAGGAATCTTCAAAATGAGGAAACACCACCATCACATGCGGATTCACGGGATAGGGATAACTGATAACGTCCCTCAAAAACTTTAATGGAACTAAGGGTACTGACTAGATGAAGCATGTAAAAGGAATGGGCCAATGCCCAAAAGTTGTGACTAGAGCCCAGTCCAAAACAAAATGTGCAAGAGGAGGGAATTAATAATCTGGGCCCATATACTGTCCCCAGTCGAAGCCCATATGTGGGAGATCAGACCAAGGAGATGGGATGAGACAGAAAAAGCGGTTTTCTTCAAACTGGTTCGGTTTTCGGCGCAGAAGCCGGTTCTGAGCAACTCAAACCAGCTCAACCCCTTAGACGGTCCAAAACTCCAAGCCAAACTGATGAAATGTCCGAGTGATGGCGGACCGGCCAAACCGTCCGGTCCGGCTTTCAAAACGCTTTAAAAGAAACAAAACTAATACAAACAAATGGAATATGCTCTAAAAGAAATTGTAGTTGACTTCGTGACAGGAGGCAATAAATATGGCCTTCAAACAAACGAATTCATGTCAGCGGAGGCAGGATTGGTGTATTCAAAAGTCAAAACAATTCCCCTTTTGGGAAAGAATGACGTAAAAAGAAATAATCCAAAACAATCAAAATTAAACTTATATATTTAAAAGAATTATTTTTACTTTCTCAATTAAATTAAAATATGTGAATATTTTATATATTATTTATTTTATAACAAATTTTTATTATTAATATTATTAGCCCATATAAATATATATATATTGATTTAATTGGATAAAAATATATTAAGCATTTAAAGTTAATTAGATAATTATTGTCCTTTATGAAGAAATTCTTAAACAGATTGAATGTGTCATGTTATTTGCAATCTGTTTAATAAAAATATATCATTTGTTTGATGAGAGTCTTGGGTTTGGTGGGGGAGTTCTGGGGACAAAATAGAAAGAAGAAGGTTGACACGGTGACTGGAAATAATATTGATAGGTGGCTGGTTTGGATGAAGCCTGTTACAAGTGCGGTGAAGATTAATATTGATGGAGGTTTTAGTTCCAAGAATGGGAAGGCTATCATAGGTTTGGTGGGAAGAGACTGTAGAGGGCAATTCTTGGGAGGTATGAGGCTTGAAGTTTGTGCTAAATCAACATTTTATGGTTGAGTATTTTGCTTTGGTTGAAGCCTTGTAAGTGAAAGATCTGTTTAGTGATGGTCATGTGACTGTTGAGACAGATTGCTTGGAGCTATATAGGAGAGTTCAGGAGGAGGATGCTAAAGGGTGCGAATTATGGGAATGCTGTGACTTGTTTCAGGAGAGGTCTAATAGTAATTGGTCATTGTCTTTGGTGGCCCATGAGGGAAATAGAGCTACTGATGCTGTTGCAGCTGTGATTATGGGAGGAATGGTATCGCAAGGATGGCTGAATAAGCCACCTTCCTCTTTGTTTTCGATTCTGATGCTGGACCTATCGGATATTGATGCAGAGAAGAAAAAGGATTTTGGCTGATAGTTTAGTGCTAATTCTGGCTTGTTTTGTTGTTCTTTTACTTGTTTGTACGTTGTTTACTTTTGTTTCTCTTTGTGTCTTGCTTTTAGTGTATTGTTGTTTTTTCCAGGATGTTTTAGTTTTTTCCTTTGCTTTCGTTTCTTGATTTCTTCTATTTGTGAGTGTATTAATTTTTTTTATATTAATAAAATGATATATTTTTGCTCAAAAAAATAAAAATATGACATTCAGATGATATTAAATATGAATTGATTCTAACATTGATAATACTATAGAGAAAAAATGCAACAAATTAAATATATATTATATTATAAGAATAAAGTCAATCAAAATAATGTTAATTAGACAGACACAAATGAACACCCCATCTACCTAAAAATTTCTTTGAAATTAGAGAGGTGAGTACCAATTTTGAAAAACTTAATTATAAATATCACAATTAGTTGAAAATCTTATAAATTGTTATCCAATCAAAACACACAAGTAGTTAACTAACTAATCTTCTAATTTTTAGAACTAAATCTTTTTTTTAGCAAAAAGAACAAAATCTTTTAATTTGTATAATTATGCTTTTGAAATTTAGAAAATTTTCAAAGATTATAACTGATTTATAACTAATATTAGACAAAACTCAGGTCCATTTGCTTAGATTCATTTCCATTTGTTTAAGCCTTTTTATTATTAAAAAATTTATTTTCTGAAAAAAAATCTATTTCATAAAATTTAATTACATTTCTTTAAAATTTTAAAAATAAACAAAATTTGAAGGAAAAAAAAGTCTGATTATTTTTGGAAGCTATGTTAAATAAAAGTAATCTAATCCCATATATAAGAAAGAATGATATAAAAATTCAGAAAATTAAAGCATACATTTAGTCCTTTAATTTTATATAAGGTTTCATTTTAATCTTTTAACTTTATCAAGTGTCTTTTTAGTTCTTTAACTTTAATACTGTTAGTTTTATTCTAATAAATTTTTATATTAAACTTTTAAATATTAATAAAACATTCTCAAACATTGTCATATTAAATTTAATTTTTTTTAAATAATAATAATTGACACAAAAAAAATTATTTAAAACTAACGACATTAGGTTTAAAGAATTAAAAAAATACTTTATAGAATTAAGGAATTAAATTTAACTTTATATAAAGTTAAAAAACTAAAAGTATACTTTAGCTAATCCAGAATTATATTGTAAAATTTTAAAATAATTAAATGATAAATTATTTTTTATAAATAAAATCTAAGAACATATCATAAAATCTAAAATTAACTAAATAACATTAATCACTTTTTATAATATAATCAAACATAAAATAATATCTATTTTATAAAATCTCTACACAATAAATCTTTAGATTGTCTAAAAATTATTTATTTTTAATTTTAAATAAAATTTTTCTTGATGATAAATTTCATACGGATAAAATTTCAAAATTTTTTTTTTTTTTTACACCAGCAAAGATTCCATTAACAAAGAAAAACCAGAGTACAAAACCAAATCAAAAGCGAAAAAATTGGGGGGGGGGGGAATAGAAAGAAGACGGGGATTCCATTTACAACCTTTTTTTTTTTTTTTTAGTCGTATTATATCACTTGTCTTTCTCTATAAATTTATAGATATGTAGTCCTTGAAGATAAATTTGTTCGAGGTCATTCTCGTTCCATTGTTAAGAATTACCCCCTCCGATCCAAAATATATACATTTTTTAATTAATTTTAATTTAAAATATGAAAATATAAACAATTTATTACATGTAAAAATTATTTTTTTCATTTTTTCCTTGTATTTATTAGCATAAATTCTTGTGTAAGTTATCTCTAATTAAATAGAAGATAAACAAAGCAATAATTTTTTTATGAGAATGAAAATTTTACTGATATGCACATTTTTATTAAAAACTATTTAAATTTTGAAGTTGAAAAAGTATAAAGAGAGGAATTTTCATTGAATGAAGTTGGAATTAATGCTGTAACCGAACGCGATCGAAATGGTCATCAAACAATGATTGCGGAAGAAGTTTTTTTTTTCCCACTAATTTTAATAATCATCCTTTCAACACAATGATGGAATCAATATCTTCAATCATCACCAATATCAATTCAATACTCCCTCCGTTTAAGGCATTTTTGAATGGAGAGAGTACATATTAATACATATTGTAGGAGGAATGTGACTAGCTAATTTCTATTCAATTTCATTGAGTAACTTATGATGGTCTTAATTTAATTCTCTTATGTAATTAGTTCACTCAACTTATTTTTGTGCCTTTCTTTCTATCTTTTATTTTCATCAATCCTCTTATTGATTCTTATTTCAAACGGGAGCATTTGTTTCAACCATATCTTTGACTTCATTTATGCTATGCCCTATCCCCAACGGTTCATTCAATAATCCTCCATTTGGTCTCCTATGTTTCTTCAATTTACTCCCTTTAAAAATCTTCAAGGAGGTGTCCCATATAATGCTGTTCGTGTTTGCCTCGTCTACACAGATATTTTATAGGTTATACCCTCTTTTTCTTATACTTTTCACTATCTTATTTTAATATATTAAACTTTAAACCACTTTCAATCTCATTTTTTATGGCCTAATTTAATTTTTTAACTTAAAAACTAGTGAATATTAGGATGTAATTTCATTATATCTAAATAACAATATTATTTATTAATTCTTTAAAAGTTAGGAAAAGAATCTAATTTGCCTGAACCAGAGACACATCACTCTCATCCCAAATACTAGTTAAAGACTGGTAAAAAAATAATAAAAAATAATAAAGATTTAAGACTCAAGAATAAATTTGTTGAATGTCTTTTCTGCTAGCTTGCTATAATTGAAAAGTTGAATTAAAAAAATAAAGAAAGAAAGAAAAATAGTGTATTTTGGAAGAGATAAAAAAAAATTTCTTGTGTTGAGAATCCTGACTCCACCACTGCCACCTTGAACCAAAATCTTAGGTCTGCCACTGATTTTGACCATTTTAATGCCCTTTGGTATTGCTATTTTGTTTATACCAGTCCTCAAATTAAAATTAGGAGACCATTATGGCTAGCTCTTCATGAAGGTACCATTAGAGAAAAGAAAGCTAAATATTTTATAATTACATATGTATTAGTATAAATAGAAATTTTAATTTTAAAAAAAAGTTATGCAAGCTTGAAAAAAGTATTAATTTGAGGATAAAAAGGCTTACAAGCTTAAACCCTTAAGGGTCAAGCCAACCTTTATTGATAACTTAATATTGATAATTTTGTATTTTATCCTTTTCAACTTTTAGAAATTCATGCATAAACCTGGTGCACCATGTCATTTGTATTTCATCCAATAAAAACATGTCATTTAAATGATTGTGAATATGAATTCATTCTTCCATTAATAACTGTAGAAGTAGAAAAACAAGAAATTACTTAAGCATTTTATTTTAAAAATAAAGTCATTTGAAATAATGACATGTAATATTTTATTTGATTGAATTTGTGCAAGTTCATTGAATTTAATTAACAAAAATGACATGGTGTACTGGATCCATGTAATAATATCTTTTCATCCACTTGTTTTTTTTTTTTTTTGTTGAACTTCCTTCCCTTCTCTTTACGGTCAATTTAAAAAAAAATATATATTTGGAAGGTGAAAGAGAGTTAGGTCTCAAAACATTAAACGTTAAAACTTATTTTTATCTCTGAACTATATTCTTATGATCATCCAGTATCATATACTCTTATTTGGTCCAAATGATGGTAGGTTTAGGCTTACTCAGTCCCTAGTAGAAGTTGTAATTTACAAATGGTATTGTTTTGAATTGAGAGAGAAACTCACCCACACGATATAGTTAGACCAATCTGCCACCAGGTGATGGAAGAGAAGCCTGAAAACAAAAGACAAAACGCATGGCTTCAAACAGAAAATAAAACATGATTGTCGCTAGAATCAGTTATCTTTTTGTTTTTTTTTTTTTTTGGCCAATCGTCAGAATCAGTTATCAAAGAACAAACATGGCCACTGATGCCGAGTAAATAGAACATGGAATCTAAAGAATAACATTTTTTTTCTTTTTTTTTCCCCAAAATATATAAAACTTTTTGAACTTTGATGCATGTGTGTATAATTCTCCTCATTTTTAAAATTTTAAAATTAACCCCTTAACTTTTAATTTTACATTTAAAAAACCACATATCATTAATTAGTTATTATTTTATTAATATAGTTATACTTATTACTATGACAAATTAATACAATACACAAGGTACATGATATGAAAAAAAATATTTTCATTATCTTTTAACACAATTTAAAGTGAGGCAAAATTATAATTTTTACTTTTAACAGACAATACACAAGATACTCTCTCTTTTTTTATTGAGCGACATTATTTTCATTATAAATGAGAAATAAAATTTAAGAGAAAAATTATAATTTAATTATTTTTTATCAATTAAAACAGCCTTTTTTGTTTGAATAATTGCTGAAAACTTCATTCAAAGGAGAAAATAATAGCTACAAATAAATAAGAATATAAAGAAAATAAGCAAAAAAAAATAATAAAATTTATATGATTCTTATTAATGAAAGCTTTTAAATATTTTTATTTTTATTTTTTAATTAAAAAAACTTTTTTAATTAATAAAAAATAAAATTATAATTATTTTTTAATTGTAATGCCCATGAAAAATGAAAATAATGTCCCTCAACTAAAAAAATGAGAGCATCATCATGTACGTTAAAAATAAAAACTATAATTTTACCACTTCTTAAATTGTGTTAAAAACAATAAAAAAAATTTTCCACCTTATATGCAATGCGTATTACATTAATATGACAAGTCAATAACTATATTAATAAAATGAGAAAATTAGCTCAATGGCATCAAAAAATACAACTCTCATAAATTATGGGTAAGGTTTTTAATATTTTAAAATATGGCCCATTCATAAAATCAATTAGATGTGCTTTTTTATCATAATAATAAATTTATTATTAAAATAAAATATATTTGATTTAACTAATCTTTAACTAATTGAATCTTTCATTTTTATCATTAAAAATTGTATTGTGCATGCTCCCTCTCTAATTTATCATCTTTGAAAATTTTTTTAATCAAATTTGTTGATTTAATTTTCCTAGATCATCATAATCATCTCTCGTATAGTGCTTCTCTTTGTCATAATTTTTTATTTGATTTTCCTTGATCACTATCTTCATCACATAACTTTTCCTCTCTCTCTCTCTCTCTGTTTTTTTCAAATATTACAAAGAGGACATTAGACATTGAAAGGGAAAACTCCATTACTTATCTGCGATACTACATCATTGATATACGGCTACATATCAATGATAAAAAAAATTAGTAAGTTTTTGTTGATATGACTTATATATCAATGATATTGTTAAATCAACATAACTAGACAATCAAACATAAACTTATTTATAATTGATATACAGCTGTATATCAATAATATAGTATCGTAAATTAGTAATATGAAAAATACATAATCATTTGCCCAAAATAAATCAAACATGATCTAAAAATTTTTTTTAGACTCTTAGCTTATTATAGAGAATCAAATATCTAAATTAATAAAATAAAAAATATGAATCTGTAGCTTCATTTTTCCACTGGCATGCTTCATTTTGTTGAGTATCGTCGATGTATGCCACCTCACATTTGTCTCTCACTGTCGTGACTATGGCTCACTTACACTGCTCTGTTATCTCGTGTTCATCTCTCTCGCGTCGAATTCTGTCTTCTCTCGCACATTTGTGTCTCTCATTCCAAAGATTTCTGACATCTTGAATTTTCAGGTATTTGAAAGAAAATATATATTAAAAAGGATCGTTTTGCAAATTAATTATAATCTAAATAATAAAAAGGTCATTTTTAAAATTTAACAAATGATAGATTATTTCTTTTACTTGATCTTATAATATGGGCTATTTGTGCAAAAGTCCCTTAATAAAAATAACATTTAATTAATAATAGGAAATTTTAAAAAATAAAATTAAAAATTAAGGTGATTAATTTTAAACATTGAAAAGTAAAGGAGTCAAATACAACTATCTCATAATTTAAACTCCTTTTATTCAAAAATATAAAATATTTTTTAAAGAGTTGAGTTGAAAAATATAAAATATTTTTAGTCTTTTAAAATGTAATTATTATCTTTTTTTTTCAAAAATGCCCTATTGATGAATGATTTTATATTTATTGTAGGGTGTTTAATAAAGGTAAATATGAAAAGATAAAATTAGTTTAAAAGTAATTAACTATTTTATTGAGGGATAAAATTCTGTTAAAAATATCTTATATTTTTTATAAAGAGAGTAAATTTTATACATTTTAGTAGAGCCGATAATTTGGGCCAAGTTCGATGGGCCTGAACCTGAACCCGCCGACCGAATAGGCCCGAAAAAATTCAGGCCAAGCCCGATCAAGTTCGGGCTTGGCCCGAATACCCGAATAGGAAAAAAATAAATTTTTTAAAAAATATATAATATAATAAATATTAATTATTTTTCAAGTTTTATATCATTTTATTTTAAAATACCATATTTTGAGTGTATTACTATAGTTATTTTATAAAAAATAATTAATTTTTATATTTTAAGACTCAATTTTTTTCAAAAAAAATTGAGTCATATAAACCATTTTCTTGTCCAAAAAATTATATTTTATATTTTTTATAAAATAAGATAATTAATTTTAAATTAAAAATAATTTTAAAAATAAAATTTGGACATGTACGAATTTTTAGCTCTACTGCTAAACAAACATAATAAATAAAATAATAATTTTAGATAATTATTTGATTATTATCCATGCCAGACTTAGTTAAAAATTAAGAATGAATTAAAGTAAATACTTTTTGTATATAGGACTTAAATAATGTAAAATATTTAAAGAAAAAAATTCAAAAAAATAGTATTTTGCTCATAATTAAATAATTTTATTTTATATAATATAATGACGACTATTTTTTTTCATATTCTTAAAAATAAAAAATATAGTTTATCCAATAGTTATTAAAAACTTTAAACTAATCAGGACAATAATTTTAAATTAATAGTTTAACCGTAGTTGAATTGAGATTAACTTGATCATAGTTAAAATAATATGATTCAATTAAAATATATAAATATTTTTATATAACTATGATAAGAGCAATATTTAAATAAATAAGACATTAATTTACAAGTAAAGAAAATATTCATGAATAAATTGCACATAATACAACAAAACAGTAACAAAGCTACTTAAATACTTAAATATAAAGTTAATAAGTTATTTTTTTTTATTCATTTCAAGTTAAAATAATATGTTATGCTTAATAAAATTATTTAAAAATTAAAATTAATAAAAAATAAAAAATATTTTAAAAAAGTTTCGGGTATTCGGGCCGGCCCGAATAAGCCCGAAGCCCAAAGGCGTTAGGGCTGAGCTTGGCTATATGGGTTTTTTAGAAAGAGTAGGATTCTTTAAGCCCGAGTCGAATAAGCCCGGCTCGAATTGAGCCCGACCCGAATAAGCCCGACCTGTCCGAATTACCGGCTCTACATTTTAGCCAATGATTGTAAACGAAAAAACATGGTTGGACTTCTCAAAATCAGTTGCGGGCCGTAAGACCAACCTGGCTATTGATACCATGTCAAGTGTAAACAGAACACGGAGTCCCAAAAAAAACTTGAACATTATTTTTTTATACAATAGCTTGAATATTGATGGAAGAAAAATAAGTCAAACATAGCTAGAGAAGGCTGCCAATACATATAGCCCGCATATTATACAATACAACCTTTTACCAATAAAATATCCAAACTAATAATATCTAACTAATTATCAGATATAAGCAACTAATCTTAAACATTTATATCTACACTTCTATACTTCTCACATAATGTGCATATAAACACACAAATGAAGTAAAAAATTAAAGCCACACCCCTGTAAGAAAAAAAACTAAAGTAGTTTTTGGTTGGAGAGAAAGAAAGGAAAGGGGAGAAAAATTTTTAAAAAATCTTTCTTTCCCTTCACTTTACCAAACAAGGAGAGGGGAGCCCCTCTCCTCCCCTTATTTGGATGGTACAAGGGAAGGGGTTCCTTCTTTGGTGGTAGAGGGAAAGAGAATTTTTAAATTTTTTTTTCCAAAACCTCCCCCCTTCATTTGAGGGGATGTCCCCCTCCCCTCTCCGCACCTCTCTTGAATTAAATAGGGCCTTGAAGAGCATTTAAATGTGGATGTGCAATTTCCCATCGTTGACAAGCACGTACATCATTATTCATCAGTTTCTATTTTAATTATCCCCAAAATCCTCTGCCACTTTATGCTGTCTTCACATTGGAACTCTCCATGTGTGCACAAGACTATCCTCACAGATACAGTCACAGCCATAGACTATTCACATACACAAACCTACACAGTGACCAAGGTTTTTACAACCTAGCAGAAGCATAATTTAAATAAGGCCATTCCATATAGAATCACCTGGGACAAGCATGATAAGGCCGAACAATAGTACAATAACAAACCCTATTTTACTAAGTATACATGGATCACACTATATCAAAGTGTTTTATCAACAACCTGCTTTTTAGATACAAAAGAACAAAAATGCACCACATTTCAGAAATCTAGTTAAACAAAAGCCTGCAATTCACAGAGTTTGTGGGGCATTTGAATAACCTTTTGCGTATTTGTTGCTTCTTTTGACGACTTAAGTTACCAGTAATACTGATGGAGATGATCCTAAGAACTTTTGCTTTCTCCATAATATATCTTACAATTCGAAAGTGATATTCCGAGCCATTGTAGCCTGCAAGATAGAATTTCTTCAGGTGTGAAGAAATACATTCAGGAACATCGAGAATTTGTTCCATCAAAGCATTCTCCTCATCACGAACAGATGGGATAACAGCAACGTTATGAATAAAAAGATCTTGAAGCTTGGGGCAGCTATGGAGACATTTCACTATCTTACCCTAGTCTTCGGCAAAACATCCGAATTCCAAGCGAGTTAAATTGAAATACATTGGTATATCCTGGCTAGGTGACCATACATCCTACAAGAGGGAGATCAAAACAATCTAAAACTTGAGTCATCACATATCACAAAGAAAGGTAATAATGTGAAATTTACTCATCATCATTCATACCTGACACAAACTAAGAAATTTAACATTCGAGAAAGCTTTTAAAGTCATCATGAAGGGTGGGAAAGCTGCTGAGGACAAATGCTTAAGACTTGCAATGCCGACTGCTGCTAAAACGCTAGCATGCATGTCCATACCCACCAATGACAGTGACAAGCTTTCAAGAAGAGGACATCCAGAAAGAAGCATTGCCACACATTTGAAACCATGAAATTGAACTCCTTGCAAGTGCATGATTTTCAATGAAGGCAAATTTACACGAGAAAGAGGGTCTACCATCAACCCCTCTAACTTTAATTCTTTGATAGTACTACAGACGAAAACGCTAGACGGCAAACTATAGCAACAGAATGGAAAAATTAGCTCCAGCTGCTCAACTTTGAGCTTTAGCGCTGCATAAGCCCAGATTTTAATCTGTTTAGGGGGAATGGAATAAGATCGACAGAGGAGATGGAACTTTTTGATGGTTCTAAAATCTCCAAACATGAGGACAGCGTCTACAAACTGAACAAAATGTTGAGAACTACCAAAGATGGAATCATCAAGGTCAAGAGTTGATAGTGAGCGCCAAAGTGGCTTCCACATCTTAGACACAAGGCTTGTGGCGATGGCTTCTTTGGTTGGAAGAAAAGACAGAATATGTTGAAGCAACGAGTCTGGTAGCTTGCTGATCTCATCGCTCATTACCAATTGACTTCCACTTTCTGGGTTCATAGACACTGATTTTGCTTAAACCTTAGTTAGGCAATAAGGAGGAAAACAGACCCATTCAGAAAATCATCAAAAATGAACTAATAATTTTTCTTCTGAACTTGAAGGTATTGGGAAAAAAATATGCAAAATAATTCTTCAGAAGATTCATGACACACTATCCGTTCAAAACTGTCTTTACCGAAACGAAAATAATATTCATCATTCAACAATAAGAGAAGGAAATAACCAACCTCGGATGCAGCTTCGGCCTTCTTCCTTGTTTTTGTCTCTTCTCTGCTGCTCTCTCTATCTCGCCCTCAATCTCTCAGCCTTTTCGCAATCTCTGAAGGTCGCTTTATCACTTTCCTTCGCCTCCGCTTACTGTGGGCTCAATACCGTTCTGAATCGTGCTCTCTATTCTCTCCCACCTCTATTTAGTGTCCTCTCCTCTGCTTCCCTCAGACCCTGACGCAGAGACTCTGCGTGGATGTTAAGCAACTAGCGATTTTCCGATTCTGTCCTCTTCATGTTTTCCGTCCTTGACTTGGGGTTCGATGATTTGATTGCTGTAATTCACATCAATGATTTGATTAATTACAATCAAATCATCGACCCTCAGGTCAAGGACGGCAAAGCTGAAGAGGACAGAATCGGAAAATCGCTAGTTGTTCATCATCCACGCAGAGTCTCGGAGTCTCATCTAATTAATGTAATGTGCAAATTATAATATTTAAATAAAAATATAAATAATTTCATAAGTCTTATTTTTATATTTTATATAATTTATGCTAATGTTATTCGATAAAACTTTTAAAAAAATAAATTACAAATACTATTTTAAATAATTATAAATTTATTTTTTTAGTTTTGAATATCTTATTTATAATTATTTAAATTAATATTTATAATTAATTTTAAAAATTATAAAAAACTTAAATATTATTAATTTAGTATTTTAGAATATGGGATCTAATCGTTATTCTTCCCGTTCAATACATCCAATTTTCATTTGAGACATCATAGTTTGTGCCAATGGGAAAAGTTTTTGAGCCTTTTTGCATTCTTCATAATAAACCATGCTGATTCAGACTGATTTTGAGAGTCATCATACATTACAACCTAGTGACTATATATAATTATATAATTAGACAGATTTATTGTCATAAAAAACTCTCGCATTGTTTATAATGATATTGATAAAAGTTAAGTTGGAAATCAACAAACCTTGTGGATCACAAGAATTTTAAACTTGGGCAAGCTTCGCGGGTATTTCAGTGTTGTTTTCCTGTCAAGAGAATGATAATCTTCGAATTCCAATGGGGGTTAAATTATAATATGTTAGAATACAGGGGCTCGGCGACAAACTAAGCTTCAAAGAAGGGCCAATTGAATTATTAAATGTACGGATAAAAGTAATAACATGACCATAGCGCATTGGGGACTACACCTTCTAACTAGATTAGAAGTTTCCAGTCCAAACATTAAGTATATAACTGTGTTAAATAGTATTGTTAGGAGAGCTTGTTGACTTTTGTAATTTGATCCAGCTCAATCTAGAACAGATGGGATCAAAAAAACAAATTTAAAAACATAATTTAAAACTTTTGAATTTTTATAATTATTTAAATTAATATTTATAATTTATTTTTTAAAAAAATATTGAGAACTTAACTATCATTAATTTATTTTTTTAAAATTTAATTGTTATTCTCCTTTTATCAAACTCTCTATGCTTCTATATATGTCCCTTCTTTTTATTACTATTTTACACCGTAATTCATATTTAATTTTAACGTATATATGATGATGATGATGATGATGATGTCCAAGTAAAATTTGAGTTAAATTTCTAAACACAAGATGCTAAAAATATCATATAATAATGTTTTAAAAAAATTTAGATAGTAGTATTTTTAACAATATTAATCTTGACCAAAATCTTATATTCCATCTTTATTCATGTTTTTTTTAATTAATTTGATCTCTAGTTCCAAAATTTAATAAATAACCGGAACTCACTCGAAAATCAATATGAACAGTTCTTCACAGCAAACATTGCAAATAGATGGGCACGGTTGATTCATGAATTATATTCGTGAAAACAATATTGATACTGATATAATAATATCCTATGTATAAACTATAATAATCCTACTTTTGGTAAAAAAAAAAAAAACTATCAGAATTAATCCTATTTAAACGTGTTATACTAGCTCCTCACAAAGAGACACATTAAGGTTTGAATTTATGTCAAAAAATATGTTTACATGTAGCATTCAACTGTATACCTAAAAAATGATTGTCTCTAATAGGAAGAGGCATGCATGTAATAAAAAAAATAAATGTAAACATACAAAATTTGATTGGATGTAATGTAAATAATATTAATTGTTTAGACTAACTATGAAACGTCGTTCAAATATATTACAAGACTAATTGGACTGAGTAATTGAAGCGTCAGGCCCAATATGAAGAAAAGGGACAGGCCCTAAAGCTCAATAAAGGCCACAACAAATAAACATGCCGAAATTCCGTCAGCTGCAAATATTAGACCATTGGCATGAAGACACGATCCTAAGTAATGTCAAAATCTACGTCCAAGTAGTTTGGTGAAACGGGATTGTTATTAAAATGGAGAGACCATGCCATAAGTTTTGCAAGATTCTTGATTCTTCAGCAGAGCATGCTAAGTCTCAAGGAAAATGTTTCTGCTATTCTGACACTATAAATAAAAAGAAGAAAAAAACAAAGAAAACTAGTCAATACTCCATGAAGACTCGCATATTTTACATTCAGTAGCCCTTTTTACTTTTTAGTTTTTACGTCTGTAATCTTTTTACATTTTAATAAAGTCATACACTTGTTTTACCAAAGCCTTGTATCTTTTTACATTTGAGCGAATTGTAATAAGGGAACTTGAGACCCTTTTCATTATCTATTGAGACTCAGTGTCTCAGGCATATTTGATATTTATTGTTCAACCATGAACAATTTTTAGCATGCCTGATGGGACCTGTGTAATAAAGATGGCAAAGACGTAAAAAGAAAAAAAAAATTGATGAAACAGGTGCTGGTTCTCACGAAGGGATCTCTGTGCATGCAGGATCAAAACACTTATCACCGGATGCTAAAATAGTTAAATATCGTGAGCAGTAATGCCGGTGACAACAGGTAGTATCAGCACGAGCCTGGTTCAAAGTCAAGAATTGGACAATTTAACCCACTGATGATATTCTCTTGAGGTTTGCTGCTAATTTTCGGAGCATTCGAAGACCATCTTCACTTGCGCCAGCTCTCATAATGGTGAGGCTCCTAAAAAATCTGGCATTCTCCGTTATAAATTTTACCAGTTCAAACTGGCTTTCAGGAATATTCTGCGAGTAATGAAGAGTGAACTCCTTCAGATGCAATGAAACACACGGAGGCACATCAAGCACTGGCTCAGGAGGGGACGTAGAACGTGCCAACTGCTCACCATATACACAAAAACCATACACAAATAAGTCACAATATAACCAAGGTATTGCAATCACAAATAAGTTCAAACCTTGCAACCTTAAACGACTCTGAAATTACAAGCTTTTCAAGTATGGGGAAGTTTCGGAGACAGTTCACCATCCTAGTCCACTCATCCGCAACACATTCCAGGTGGGTGCAATTGTAAAACGTTGGAATATCATCACTAAATGGCCATATACCCTGCGTGCAATAATGCTGAAACAGACAGAAAATTAGGGAATGAAATCTTAGGAGAAGAAAGAGAAACAGTTTACCCATCATGCGTGATCCATATACCTGATCCAGTCGTATAAATGTCACATTGGAAAAAACTTCCAACGGAAATAGAGATTGGGGAGCATCTGCAAAGACCAGATGATCAAGTCTTCCAATGTCAAGTGGATTGTAATCGTGAACGGAGAACCGAAATTTTAGTACCAACTCTTTAAGCGAAGCGGAAGCAGAGAGAAGCATTTCCAAACTTTGAAATTCTGAAAAATGAACATCTCTCAAATGCAAAACTTCAATAAAAGGCAAATGAACATGAGAAAGAGTACCCACTGTTACTCCACTCAACTTCAAAACCCTCATGTTACTGGTAACGAAAAAACTAGAGGGCAACTCGAATTCTCCATAGTACAGTATCAGTTGTAGCTCCAGATGTTCAACTTTATTACTAATCATAGCATTGATCCACTTTCTAATGTTGAGAGGTCTAAAACAATCACGAGGTTTAATATAACTACTCTCTATCTCGAGAACAAACATTTTGACAGACTAGAAATCTACCAATTTGAGCAGTTTGTGTACAAATCGATGGAAGATGGAAGACTCTGAAAACCTTTGAGGTTGAGGTCAAGAGAAGGAAGGGAAAGCCAGAGAAGCCTCCATCTCTTGGACAAGAGGCTTGCGGCCACTGCTTCTTTAGCAGGAAGACAAGAGAGAATATGGAGAAGCAATGAATCTGGCAAACCACTGATCCTGTCAACCTTTGTTCTTGCTCTCCACTTTTTGCTTGGGGACACTACTGATTGCTCCATAATCTTTAGCTCAGGCCTTCAGAGATCCTCTTTTATCTAAAACAAGAAGTGAAGAAGAAGAAGACCGACGAAGAAAATAAAGGAAAAATATTTCCACCCCAGCGATTACATTCACTGGTCTAATTATAGGTTTTGACTTCTGAATTCTGATATGACATAAATAAATTTTTGGGAAGAAAAATATTTATGAAGAAAAGTATGTATGGTGCCACCATCATCCGGCACAACATCAAAAACATTGGGGAATTCAAGAGATTCACGGATGCATCTTCTTTCCACAATTTATCATGCTGATACATCCAAAATCAAATTTTTTGGGCATAAAGGCAGGGGCCTCTAACGTGCCCCTCTTTAATACCCTTCATAATGCCTCAATTTTTTAATTTTATTTTTTATTTTTCTTTAGATCATTGACTTTTACATAAAATAAGAGACATTTGAATATCTTAATATCCCAAAATGGTAAAAATTTATATTTTTTATGATTTTTTAAAAATAAAAGGATGTATTTGTGATATTTTTCTTTAAAAATGTCACAAACAAGAGGTTCCAACTGTACTTTGCATATATGATATTTTAACACTCTTTGTTGGACATGTGATAATTCATTGAACCAGGGGCGGAACCAGACCATGAGGCCAAATTAAAAAAAAAAAAACGATCATATATATTGATATTTGAAAAAAAATTATATTTGGAATAAAAATTATATTAAAATACTTTTATAAGATAAAAAACAATAAAATAAGAATCATTTAGAATTTTATAAATTTTTTAAAATAAAAAAATAAAGCTAAGTCCTAGTAAGAAACTTAAAAAAATTACATGCTCAATGTACCTAAACTAATATTAAACTGGCTAAAAAAAATATTTTATGTCTACCTTATTTAATACAGTGTCTTATTTAATTTTTTTATTAATTATGGGTATATTTAAAAAATCTTATTAACTGGGCATTGAAAAATTTAAAATATCTTATATTTTTTTCACATCTTATCTCATGAAAAATGGCTTATATTTTTAAATGGAGGGATTATATTTTTGTGTAATATACATACAATATAAGAAATTATATATGTTTTGGCCAAAAAATAAGAAATTATATATGTGTAGGGGAGAGTAATAATTTTTTCTTAAATAAGGGAAGGAACTCCATGCGTTTAGGCACACAATACACCGACATGCATGAAAATTGCTATGAGGTGGCCCCCCTCAAGGTACAAGTAGGTCCGTCCCTGATTGAACAGTATTGACGCTTGGGAAGAAGTAATGTACAAGCTCACAAAAAAAGAATGAAGATTGTTAATAAGATCACGAATACAATTAAAATATGCGTACTTTTCAAACTATTATGTGCATGCATCCGACTGTGTTAATGTAATTTAACAACACTGTTTTATACACACGATATCATAAAAGAAAGCGAACAGGCTCTTAATACAATGAAGATGGTATATATATCATCACATGATAGAAGTAATTAATGTGCTACAATTCAGGGGACATTGGCACTTGGGAAGGAGTACACCAGGAACTCTCCCGAAACAAATGAACGTGCTAAAAAGGATTGCAGTATAGGATGAAATACGAGAGTTTCTTTCATAGATTTGCCAATAATTAATTTTTTTTCAAAAAAACTCTGATGAAAATTATTCAACACTAATAATAAAGCACAGTTCTCAAATTCAACAAATTTTTATCGAATATATTAATAATCTAAAAGCAAGCCTTTGACTTCAACAAAACGTGAGAGATGAATTAATTTATACACATTGACCTCCCCGACACTGTCCACAATGCAATATTTTACAATATATGTATGATATGCCATATGACAGCAAATTGATCAATCCCACAAGCCAACAAGAGGACGAACTGAATTTAAAGACCAATTTTCCTTTTACACTATGGTTCTTTTCGACACCCATATTAGTATATTACATATATGAGTATAATATATATGGTTCACACTTTACACACAAATCCCAGTATTAATTCTAAAACATTTATCAGCTATGAAGTATAAAACTTTAGGGAAACAGTACACACACACACACACACACAAAGACAATAATCGACAGTGATGAACTAGCAGGAATCTTGATTAGAATTGATTCTGGACGACGGGTTGCCTGATTGTAGACAGTCATCTAATGCAGGGACTGTTTTAGTCTTCAACTCTCCAAATGCCTTCCAACAGAAAGCACCATTATTATCAAAGCTTGAACCTTGTTTGCTTGATTGAGGTTGTAGCTGTACAGTGTCTAACGTTAGACCAGTACATGGCACAGCATCACTACATGCGAACCTCACAGCCTCCCTAAAAAATGTCCCTTTAACGTTAACATAATCGATACCAGACACAGCCACAGCCGATGAATCATTTCCACACTTTCTCTTGTCACAGTAGTACTGATCGATCATTATCGGTGTTCCAACCTCTGAGACTTGAATGTCTGAGAATCTGATGTCATGAACTGAGCCTGAACCTCCTTGCCATGTCTTGATTCTAACAGCTGTTAAGCTGTTTTGGAATGTAGTGTCTCTGACAGTGACATTAGAAACACAGGCTCTTGTGTTGTCTTTTCCCAAACCTCCAATACTGATCCCATGACGTGGCCCACAATTGACGTTGTGTATGTATACATTGGAACATCCAGTTTGAATAGACACACAGTCATCTCCTGCGTTATTATGCATTTAGTTAACACCAATAATGCTAGTTTACTCTTGTTATTATTCTTCTGTGTTTCGTACGTAGTTCATTGGTTTTTGATTATTTTGAGGTTTTGGAAATTACCACAAGCAAGAGTACTGCTGTAGATAACAACGTCTTGAGAATTCTGGAGATGAATGCCATCAGTGTTGGGGCTATCTCCGGGTGAAGAAACGGTAATGGCAGAGACTTGGACGTTAGTGCATGAATCAAACTTGAGATGTGTCTGCTGACTCTGCTGAATCGTTATGCCCGTCACCGTTACACCATTACTTCCATAGAACCTTAGTGCCTACACAAACAAACCAACTTCAATATATATGCTTTTTAATACTCTCTCAATTATTTATCAATTTAGTCCTTGCACTTTGACCTAGTACCATCAATCCTTGTAATTCATTGAGTTAAAGAATTATAGGGCCAAGTTGCACTGAATAATTGAAAAAAACAACAAAGACTATAGTTTTTCGAGTCAATAAATTATAAGGATCCAGTTATTATAAGTCAAATTAAAGTTGACTAGTCGGGATCATGACTCTTCCAAATTTTTAAATTTTTTAGTATTATATAGATATTATATACTCGCAGCCTCCTAAAATTATATTTATGAAAGTTTTGTAATATATAGGCCTTTTGATCTTGGCCCCCTCACAGCTAATCTAGGCTAGCACTCTGCCCTTGAACTAAGTCCATAATTGAAAAAATGTTTAGGGACTATATTTATATTAAAAATTATAGAACGTTAAACTATTCCAAGTCATAATAAAAGCTGCTCTTGTATCTCAAACCTCATAAGGAGCATGGGACCCACAGCCCAGTTGATCATTAAGATTAGGTCTTAAGATTCAAATAATCCAATACCGTTGGTTTTGTTGTTGGGAATCCTGAGCGACGATTCCACCAGACAGAGCCTTGGCCATCAATCACTCCTTTGCCTTTGATTGTAAACTTGTTAAGCTCTTTGAACTCAAGCCATTGCAACGTTCCTGAGCCCCACGCTGAAGCGCTTGTTGGTGCGATGATTTTACCATCCACCTGTGTTCATCAATTTCACACCAAACACGTACAATAATCAACTATTAATTTAAGCAAGCTAACTTGTCAATATGTTTTCCTAGAATGAAGTAGGAAAAAAATTGCAAATTAAAACCTGAAAAAAGATGTTGGGCTGACAGGTTCCGCCTTTGAAGGAGATTATTTTCACGAGAAACACAGACCCTGATGGAACCAAAACCCTTGATCCCTTCACGTTGCAAGCTGCTGCCCAAGCTTGTTGAAATGCCTTTTTTTCGCCCAGATTTGACATTAATTAAAAAAATTAGTAAAAATTTCAATAGTGTAAGGAACAAAAGTGTAAATTTTCCACTAAAAAATTTACACAGGCACCCAGCTAAAAGAATGAGAATTATAAACCCAAGTCAAGCATAGAACAACAATCTAAAAATGACTAGATGAGGATATATCCCTGCGGGACCAAGCTAAGTGGCTAGTATAATATTCCCGGCTAAGAAATATAGCGGCTAATAACGCACACACACACGTGTTCAAGTGTGAAATGAAAGTACATATTTGGTTAATCAATTTATTGAGGAAGCAGCATTTGACTTTTCGTTTTTTGATTATTCGAACTCTAATCATTACTCCCACTCCAATTTGGATTCTTTGAAATACTTTAAAGAGGTGAAATAGATATATAATTAATTCACATGTGGGAGAATTAGACCTTTGACTTTTGTTTATAAATTTTTAATCACATGATATGTAATGCTTATATATGTATGCCTTTTATTCTGTTTCTCGTGAACTTCGATCGCTCTCTATGCTTTGTGAGATGGCACAAGAACGAACGTAGTACACACACACACACACACACACACACACCCCTCTATAAGATGATATTGTAAATTTATAACTTTGTACTTGGAATAATAATCTTTAACAGCAAATTTTGGACTTCTATATTAATTTGTAAGCTCACGGTACTTGATGGTCCAATTAAAACTTACAATTATGCTAATAAGTCAATTAAAAACTTCTATAAATGTGAATTTGAGAGAAAATAAGAATAAAGAACAAAAAAAATTATGTTAATTTTTTTTTCAAAAAACACATACTAATTACCTTTGTATCGTCTGCTTTTCCATCACCTTTAGCACCATAGTCTAACACATTAAAAGTGGAAGACCCAGAAGCCGCTTTGAGTTTTCTCCAATATGATGACCTGATCATCACGCCTTCTCTGCCATTACAAGTTTCAAAGCTTGAACACCACACACAAAGCGCAATCAAAAATATCAATCTAAAAGTGTTTAGGTTGATAATAAACTTCATTTTCAATAGAGAAATATATTTAGAGATTGTAAAATACAAGCTTGTAAGTAGAGAGGCTTGTCTTTGTATGGTTTAGAGAAGATCAGAAATGGTGATCTATTTATAGACCAAGTATTTTGGACACTGTGCTATCATGAACTGTACAGTACATATGCTATTTGACATTTCAGTTACGTACATATACAAGTCTATGGAAACTGATATACATTGATTATATTTCTTTTCCTTTTGTTTTTTTAATTCTAGATTTGGTTCACAAGCTCTTATCATTTGCATGACGCGCCATTAGGTCAGATTACGTGGCTAGAATAATCAAGGAGACACCATCCCTTTAATTATCCACATTATTTTTGTTCAATTTGACCTCAAGAAAAGAAAATTAGTATTGAATGAATTTTGGGTAAATATTATCAGAGAAGTTTACACAGACCTTTATTGAATTTTGTTGAAATTGATTAGGCTTCTGTATTTTTTAGAAAATAATAATAAAAACACGATCTAATTTTCTATTTTTTTTGGGTGAGGTAAAAGGAGTACACTGTACACCTCTCTTAACTAGGATGCTGCAATCTCTCTAATTTTTTTTCTTATATTTTTTAAAAAAATTACACATACCTTCCCTCTACTTTTAATACCGAATCCCCACATATAATTCACATGAACAAAATAGCAGTATATAAAGTATTTGTCTATGACATTTGTTAGCTTTTTAAAAAAAACTAATTTTTTTTTTTGAGAAATTGTACCATGTTAAATTTCTGATTGTCTTGTCAAGTTATTTTGTTTGGTTGCTTTTGAAAGTAATAAGATGCAATAGATAAGATAGAATAATTGTAAAAACATGAAGATATATACAAAAATATCATAAAATTAATGAAGAGAAATTAATGAAGGACAAGTTGGAGGACAACGAATTTTTCTGCTCAAGCCTATTGATGATTGGGAAATTAATGAAGCTGTTTTTCAGATGAAGGCAGATGGTTTAGCTGGTCTAGATGGCTATCATACAAAATTCTTCCAAATTTATTGGCATTTAATTTGTTTGGGGTTGATATTAAGGCCATGATCAGGCAGATGTTTCAAAGGGGGGGCATATTCTCAAGGAACTCAATGTAACTTTTATTGTCTTATTCCTAAATGTGACCATCCTAATATTTCTAAATATTTTCGCCCCATAAGTCTCTACAATGTTCTTCATAATCTTTTTGCTAAAATCGTGTGCAATAGGCTCAAATCTATTTTAGATGATTTCATCACTCCTAAAATGCTTTTCTTAAAGGGAGATTGATATCTGATTATTTCATTCTTGCATCTGAGTGTAGGCCAAGATTTTCCAAAGTGGGTTGGTATGCTTTTAAACTTGACATTGCAAGGGCTTATGATAAAGTTTCTTGGCAGTTTCTTGAGAAAATTTTGCGTAAGATGTGGTTTACTCCTCTTTGTATTCATTTGATTATGCGCTGTATTAGCACAGTTTTTTATCAAGTAATTTTGAATAGGTCTCCTTCTGAAACTTTCTTTCCAAAACATGGGGTGAGACTGAGTGATCCTTTGTCACTATATTTATTTTATTATGTACTAATATACTTTCTCCGATGATTAATCAAGTAGAACATTTGGACGGTGGCAGGGAATATAGATATCGAGGAATAATATATGATGCTCACAAATATGTAATGAATTCCACAAGTGTACGATTCGTAAAATAGTAAGTGATAAATTAAGGTCCTTCTCATAGAGAATCAAGTTAATTAATAATTAAATAATAAATTTTTTATTTTTATTTAAGTCAAGCAAAACAAAATTTAAATTTGATTTCATGAATTAAGAAATTAAATTTATATGGATGCACTAAGATTAAATTTTCAATAACCACAAATAATTAAGGCAACCTAGGGTGCTAATCCCTTCTTTAATTTATAGAGCATGAAATTATTCAAATAAGTTTACTTAAAATTAATTTGTTAATTTAGAGTATTAATAGAAATAATTATCTTTCGATTAATTACACCCTCTCTTAAATTAATATGCTATTTCTAACACAAATACCTAAGAGGCAAAAGGCACAAACTCACTCTAATGTGATTATATGGGTTCAATAAGTATATTCCTATTCTATTAAAAAATTAAATAAATTATAATTTCACATCACTCAATCTAATGGTCAAATACAAATTCTCTTCTTTCAAGGCAAAACTTAAACCCCCAAATTCGTACTCAATGGTGGCTAAGCATTAAATATATAAATAAACACAAGATTAAGTAAACAAAACTAATATTAAGCTCAAATAAATGGTTCAAACATGCTATGATCCAAGAATCAATTTATAGCTACCCTAAATTAAGAGAAAATTAGCTACACATGGCTCCATTGATAGCAAAATCAACAATATATGTAGCAAAGTAAAGAGAAAAAGGAAAAGAAAAGCTTAATCAGAGCAATCTTGAGCGAAACCTTTGATTTTTTTTTATTAAATCCAAGCTTCTCCAACCCTCTTTTGGCTCTTTTTCCTCTCCCTCTGCAGCTGCTAGAAGTGAAGAATGGTTGAAAATAAGGTCTCTAAACCTTAAAAGTTTGCTAAAGATTAAAACTGTGTATTTTACTAAAATCATGTTTTGCTGCAGTGAAATGCGTTTTCACTATAGTGAACATAAACTGTGCAGATTTTTTTTTATATTTACTTTCTTGGACTTGAGCTCTGAAATTTTCATCTTTGGGCCAATAAATTGGGCATCTCTACATGTATAAAACTCAGAATTAAAGATAAAATTAGTCCACTAACTTTTAATCACATTTTCATGCTCACTTACACATACAGTCATCCATTTAATCATATTTTTGCTAAAAAATTCAAATAAATGACTTTTAATTACATTAAAAACATCAATAAATTCAATAAAATATTGAAAGTTATCAAAATAGCTATCACACATCTTATGTATGCTGATGATACTCTCTTGTTTTGTAGGGATACAACTCAAGATTTTCGAATCATAAAGGCCATTTTGCATATGTATATTATCATTTCCGGTCAATGTATAAATTTTAATAAATCTTCAATTGTTTTCAGCCCTAGAGTTTCTCATTTGCGCAAGCGATCTTTGTCTCATGATTTGGGTGTTCACTTCAAATTTCATTGGGTAGGTATTTAGGTACTTATATTGATGGACGAGAAAGCTCTCACTTACGATTTAAGGACATATGGGATAAGATTAACAGTCGCATTTGTTCTTGGAAATCACGTTTGTTGCCTCAAGCTAGAAGGTTAACTTTAATTCAGAGTACCCTTTCTTCTGTTTTAGTTTACCCACTTTCTCTTGGCTATTTCCAAAATCTTTTTGCCATAAATTGCACATGAAGTTCACTGATATTTTTCTTGGGTGATTCTAATGATTCTGGTAAACTTCGCTTAATTAATTGGCTCCTGATTTGTCAACCTTATGAGAGGGGTGGATTACATGTCAAAAATATAGAAGCTTTTAATCATGCTTTATTAGCAAAGCATGCTTGGAGAATAATTTGTATTGATAAAACGCTCCTTAGCAAAGTGTTGAGGCATAAATATCATTCCATTAATAATGGTTTTGTGTTGGCTTCTAAATCTTCAGCTTCTCCTATTTAGATAGGTATAGTTAAATAGAGTAGCTTAGTATCATTATGGATAACCTTCATTGGACTCTTGGAAATGGTGAGATGATTTCTTTACAGAACAGGCACTGGTAGCCTTTGAAAGTATCCAACCTTATACTGCGCCCTTCTCTCACTTGGAATATCTCCTTACTTAAGTCATTTTATTCTTCTGATGTTGTCTCATCCATTTTGAAGATTCCAATTCCAATTAGTAATCACCCTAATTATATTAAGTGATTTATAAATTTCTTAAGGGATATTATTCGGTCAGGGATGGTTACAAATTACTATGCCTTGAACCTGCTGTTTCTGATCCACCTCCTTTTACAAATTGGTCTTTGATCTGATCATTAAAACTTCAGCCAAGAATTAAGGTTTTTCTTTGGAACATTGATTGGAGATGACTTCCAACTTCCTCTTTTGTAAAATTTCATCATATTCCTATTGAGGCTAAGTCTGTGTTTTTTGTAAACTAAGTGATGAAAGTTTGGATCATTTGTTTATGCATTGCAGTTTTGTTAAAGCCTGTTGGCTTGGGAGTCTTTTAAATTTTAGAATTGATTCTTAATTGTCATGGGATTTACTTCATTGGTTGTCTGTATGGTTAATCACTTTTCAAGATCATAAAGATAACCCAAATGTATATGATATTTTACCATTTTATATTTTAGACACAATTTGGTATCTTCGAAATTAGAGTTACTTTGCAGGTAAATCTTTTAATTTATTTCGCAGGACGTTATCACTCTGGCAACATGAAGAGCAGCTAAATCCTTGAGGAACATTTCCATTTCATCGAACAGATCAAGAATGCATGCTTGGAGACAATCTTAGACTTACATAATTAGTCCTTTCAGGAGCGATTTCAACAAAGTTAGATGATTGAGTTCACTCACTTTAAGAAATCAAGGTCCAAGAGATCTATGGGAATATTTATTTCCCAGAATGGCTCGATCATTTAGCTTTGGAGACATTTCTTGTCTGCTCGAATTGAAAAACTTCAATTTTAGATTGAGTGTCTTCAAAGGTTCTCATTTTCTTACAAGAACAGCATAATATTTTTAGTCATCATAGTTCCATTATAGGATTGCGTCTGTATAAATCTTCGTATATTAAGTTTATAGCTGGACATTGGAAAACATCATGGGTTTTGCAACATTTGCAAAAGGATATTGGCGTCTTAATAGGACAATTTAATGTTGTAATTTTTATTATTTAATTTAAGTTGTTGGTTCTTCATTAAAAAAAAAGTTGCTGCAACAGAACCGGATATTTGAATGTCCTAACCTCGTTAAGATTGGTGAAGGACTAGGACTCTCAAATCAATGTAACAACAACTAATTAATAAATTAAGAGCTCAAGCTTCATGTTCATGTATGCTTTTCGTGAGAAACAATTGCCCAAGACAATTCATGCGGGTTGATTA